GAATTCGACACATAGTTGATCGATATGCTCTAAGGTTCATTGTCACTTTTTTCTTACTACGGACAGAAGGAAATTCAATTAAAGTGGAAACAAAACGAACAGGTACGCTTGCCTGCATATCGCTGCTTTTCAAGAATAGCGGTTCAACTTGAAATTGATCTTTTATTTATTTCTGACATTTATTCAGAAATGGCAAAATTTTGATGTGAATTAGACTCCAAAGTTTTCATTGGGTATAATAAGAGATTAATGACAACATTGGGGTGGTATTCGTTAACTTTACGTAGCACACACTACGTGACCTGACATATCACTTGTTTTTGAGATAGGCCGCCATAGTATATAGTTGTCTATATATAGGATTAAACCTTGAGACAATTGGAGACCAAACATTATCAAATTTCATAAACAAGCATAGCTCCTGTCTAAGTGGAACTGTAGGAGTTTGCGCTCCTTCGCATTTTATGGTCATGTTGATCGCATAATTGATGTAACCTATAATTTTCAGTTTTGAGTGCGTACACTGACGTAACTCCAATTTACGAAGAACTCGTGGATCACTCCGTCGTATTTCATGACCATATAGATTACAGACTCACTTAACTTTTTATAAGTAATTTCCCTTACTTTAAAATATTATAATTTTCACTGTATAGGGTACTCAAAGTGTTTTCACTCCTTCATATTTGTTGTTCTATTCGGCTAATATTTATAGGCACTATTTATTGTTGAAGTTTGGATTTCGGTTTGTGTATATCAATATCAATCGTATTTGTTGAAAACATTTTTTATTTTAGATGTTGCTGATTGTACTTTATTATGTCGAATATCATTACTTAATGATAATTATCATATTAATGCCAACAAACGCTGGGAATGTTGTTATATCAGTTTTTTGAAAGGACAGAATAAACCACTTATTAAACTTTTGTTTTTTTTTGCTCTATATTTTTAACATCAAGTTTCTTTAAATTGCAAGTAACAAATCTACTCAGATCATCAATTTCCTGTAAAGTCACTCACATATTATGTATAGTCGTAGGAGAACATCGTAATTTGTAGTTCATACGTAATTTTGCAATGTAAGTTAGCAATTTCAATACAGGCAATACCAACTACACAACAACGAGAATATTTATTTTTTGTAAGTATTAGCAGGTACTTGTCTTTTTGGCTAGTTTAGTAGCCAACGGTATCAGTTTGTTATATCATTTCTCGAGGTAATAGAATATGGCACGGGTGTAGTACACCATGATATGCGGATAATATGTTATTTAATGGACTTAAATCATTTCAACTCATGCATGGCACATGCTTCCAATATACAGATATTATATTTATATGCCTTAGTGAAATGGATTCTAATGACTTCGTCGAATCGTGATACATACCTCCACTTCTTTCTTTTTTTAATAAAATTGAGTCGGAGCTGATAACTTCGACGACATCTCGAATATTATTAATTCTACTCACGTTCTTTACCCTCGTCGCCATTTGTGGCGTTTACGCTACTTAGTATTAGGGATAGCTCAATGAAACAACATGTGTTTACTTCACGTACACATGCGATACGTTCGCTCACACCACTGTTTAGTGTCGTAGTGCGGGAACGGCGGGCCGCAATGTAACTTATATTGTCTAATGTCTATGGCACAATTATGTGCATACACTACAGACTGGATTTTCATGCTTACTTTGTAGGCCTTGGCCCGGAAAAAGTCACACGGTCCATAAATGACAAAATTTCGTCATTCATCATTCGTCATTTCGTCATGTTTGAGAAAAAGAAATTATTCGTAATAAAAGCCATAAATAACATCATCTGAAAGATGTAGACGATTTTCAATTCCTAGCATTAGCGCAACCATAACAAGGAGGAAAACGCGATGCCTCGCTAAGGCCAACCAAGTTCATTGATTAGTTTAGCCAAACATTCACCATTGTGTTATTTCAACAAGTGTTTATTCTTCAAACAATACTTAATATTCAAATATCCAACTGAGTTGTGTAAGACTGATAAAGAGACCTCTATTGTCCGGTCACGTTCATTCGGAACGATATTCAAGTTTGAATGGAGCCAAGATTAGATTCAGAGCCCCGGTGACAATGCAGACAAAGCTTTCAATGCATAAAACGAGATCCACATACAACATGCGTTCTCCTGTATACTTACTATATGTCTTTGACCAACTGGTGCAAAGAGAAATTTGTAATAGGGGCTATCGCATGTAATCGCACTGTAAAGCCCGTAGGTGGTTGGATAATTTTCAGTGTAGTTTTCTCTATCTACTTTCGGTGGGAATTTTTATTATAAGTATTTGAGTATATTAGGAATCTATACTACCTCAGCTCGAATAATTTTTTTTCCATACTAATTCGGTTCATGTTGTTTTGAGTCGTGCGGCAAGGACACTGGCGTTATTTCAGAATTAATTATTTTTACAATCGAAATTAAAGCCATTTCCTATACTATACATCTCCTATTTAGTTCAGTTGATATAAAATCATTGGTATATGTAATGTACCTATTTAATACAGGCGGTATTCTTGTACAATTTGGAGGTAAGTTTGTATTTTTTTGTTACGCCAAAATTTTTAGGAATCGTATTTTCACACCCTATAGTGTATATCCTCAATTTTATTTTGCATTTCCACAGTGATTGAATTAACACTTTCGCTGTTATGCGGATTCAACCAAAACCATTTGAGGTAGCATACACTCTTAATTGTGCACTTTAGTAGAATCGACCCTTTCATTGGTAGTAAAGAAGGTTTCTTAAAAAATGTCAAATCTGCAAATCTGTAGATCAAATGTATACGTAACATCTACACCATTTGTAGAGTTTTTGAACATCTTTACACGTCACATAATCTGTACGTTTGTTTTTATTTAATGTGTTAATAACTAATTTAAACTAATTTAAAGTATTGTTTTTTTTTTTTAGATTTAAAGATTTAGTTTTATATAATTATATAAATACATGTTATCGATTATATATTCTATCATATATCATTAGTTATATCTTAAGTATATGTCACTAATATATGTTTTATTATTGTTTGTAATATATGTATAACCACGACAAATAAGTTATTGTAGACTTTAATTTAAACCTTAATTAAAAATTAATTTAAAATTGTATAAGCTCACTACTAATTTTGTTTTGTTCTGTTCGTTTATAAGGCTTCAAAATTTATGTCATTGTTGATAACTATTTTGGCCTAAGTTATTTAAGACAAATATTGTTTGTTGTAAGACGTATTTAAGTTGGCTGTTGTTATTCCTTAATAATAAAAAAAAAAAAAAAAAACCTTTTATCTCGTTTTTTGTTCTTCTTGTTTTTCTCACTTTGTCAGATAGCCTGTATCCCATACAGGGTGTTCAGCTTAATGAGTGAACGATAGTGAAACTGATGATTGCTGAATTCAAGAGCGAAACTTTTCTTACTCAAATGTAAACTCAAATAATCTTTATTTCGAGGTAAGCAAATTCGTAAGGTAAATTCCATTGAGAAGAATTAGTAAGAAACTCTAGAGGTTATTCTTTGTAAATGAACATTCATTCATTTCAAATATAGATCGAGACATCCTGCTAGAGTTACAGATCCCTTTTAGAGATAAGTCCACCTTTGTTCACCTTGTCTATAATTTATATTTCTTTATAATTTTTTTGGTGCAATAAAGAATATTCATTATTCATCTAAACGGATCACTAACGTGGATTTTTGCCATCCAAGTACGCAGAAGCAGTATACATTTAGTGTAAAGTTTTTGTTTCACAATAATTTTAAACCTCGTAAGTGGCATTGTAATTAACGTAATTTCGTAAATACACAAAATAAATATTTACCTAAAATGTATCGGATATGGTTTTGTATCACAGAGTCTAAATAGCGTTTAATTGTTTTATTTGATAATCACGTTGTATCATTTACTTGAATGATTGAATCAGTGAACATGACGCAAGTATAACATAGGTGTTGTTGCCAACATTGCCGTTCATTTCATCAAAATAGGAATACAACACATCTTGGATGTTTCCTTTCTGAGATCACAATTGATACGATAGTAGCATTCTATTATTGGCTCAATACGAAGTCCAACCAGACCCTAGTGTTGCGTAAGTCATCGCACCAACAGGACGAGCATTCAAAGTCCTCACAAAAGGCATTGTGTACGAACCAGTTATAAACCTCAACTATATTATACTTGGTCAGACAACTGTTCCGCACTGATAAAGCTTCTAGTTTGGCTCAGAGTGTTGAATTACTGACAGAATTAAAGATTTCTCTGTTGATGTGTTTACTGCATTTTGCGAGTGAAGTTCTGGGAGTTTGGGATTTACTTTAGCAATCCAAAAAATAAAAGTAATAATTTACTTATCAAGTTCTTAGGTTTTCGCGATTGTTACACATGGGAAATGAAATTTTTTCGGATCTAAATCGCGCTTATTTGTTTTTTCAAACAAATCTGGGACCAGTAAAGAACCTGAAAAATTGGTTTGTTTTAAAAAACAAATGTACGCGACTTAAATCACAAAAAACAGTTTCAATTCCTATAATAGACTTGTCAACAAAATTGTATTACGGTACTATGTATTTAAATTTGTTATGACGTACTCAGATGTATTTGATGATGCTATATCGTTATAAAATGTTTGAGAGATTATTCTAATATTTGAGCAAAGTGAAGGCCTATATTCCTCAGCTACGTTCAAAGTAAGTTCTAAAGCGGAAAGTATGAAGCAAGTGAATGACTATCCAGAAGTGACTGTCCAGACAATATTTTATATAGATAGGCAATTCTGCTCGTCGCAATATATTGCGACACTTTATCTTCGTCGCGTCCATGACAAATCGTTAACTGATAGGTATCTAACACACAAACTGCAGATAACGTCAACCTTGATCCAAGTACTACAAATTGAAACATCAGTTACAGAGTGTTATCTCAATTTCAGTGCGCGTTTAGAGCTCACGCAGAACGTAAAGTTGTAAAATATGCCCGTCAGGAAAGTTTCACGGTATCATCAAGATTTTCTCGGAATTATTTATAAAATAGCTGATAAATTGAGACTTCAAGACATAGAATACACGTCAGAGTACGGCTCTGACGATATCGATAATTTCATGTTTGGAATATTCAAAGTAGAACTAAGGGGATATCAAGACGATCAGAAGGTTCATTATAAAATTATATTAAAATGGCATCCGGATCCGAATATGCGCAAGCTTTTCAGAGATTTATACTTACGGGAGTATACATTTTACCAATATATCGTACCGGAGCTACTAGATATACAAAGGTGTTTCAATATCATTGAAGGATTGAAAACAAAATTTAGCAACTGCTTTTATGCGAGTGCGGAGTATAATAAAGAAACCATAGCTTTTCACAGTATAACCGATGATGGATTCAAGATGCTCGATAGATTTCAAGAGACTGATGTAGCGCACGCCTCCCTCGTGGTGAAAAATTTAGCAAAAATGCACGCGTTGTCGTTTGTGCTGGAAAAAGTTAAGCCAACTGTGTTTGAGGAGCTAAAGACTCGTTGTCACACAGACGTTCAATATTCAGATCTAGACCGTGTGTCTAAGTCTATGGAGTGCTACTACAAAGCTTCCGTGAATGTAGTGTTTGACCCAGTAGTTAGAGAAAAATTGAGAGCACTATTACCTAGATTCTTGCAAGTTTTAAACAGATGTACAATGCCAGTGCCTTATAGTGTTATTTGTCATGGCGATTGTTGGAACAATAATATATTATATAGACATCAGGTGAGTGACAAAGATGTAGAAATTAACAGTGTATGGGAAACATGTGACGATGTTAAATCTTGATTACAGAGTGGCCGGCCAATCGACGTCATTTTCGTGGACTATCAGCTTTTGAGATACGCATCTCCAGTGACTGACATCTCGTACTTTTTATACATGTCCACCGACAGAAGTTTCCTCTCTGCTAATAAAGATCGGATCTTGGACATTTACTATAATACTATGTCAGCAGTACTTAGACAATGTAACCTGGACGTCGAAGACGTGTACCCTAGAAGGGTATTTGATAAACATTTAAAGGAATATTCAGTATTTGGTCTTATTGAAGCTTTAGTTTCGATGAAAATTATAACAGCAGATGTTGATGAAGCTATCAAAATGACAGGTGAAATATGCAAGGAGGAATTACCGAAGGATTTATCGCCAAATGGATCTTTGTACGTTGAAAGAGTTAATGGCGTTGTTGATGACTTTTTTGAAAGAGGATATTCATTAAATGCTGTATTAAATGAGACGTGACCTTAATCTATGTATTTCGACACAAGGTCTGTAATGTTATAATTTCTGTAGAGTGAAGTAATGGCTTGTGTTTAATTCGCTGGTAATGTTGTAGTAAATGCTAGGTATTTCTTTGTTCTTCCGTTACATTCGTGATCATGAGTTGAAATTTAGATGCATTTTCGTTTTTCCCAATGTATTTGAAACATTTAATCGCCACCCAATATGACGGCACACAATTTTTCTGTTTTGTTAGAAGTTTGAGTAATGTTCTCAGCTTTGAAAGGAAATTTATAAAGATGATCTAAAGGCCGCAGTCGTGGTGATGAATTAATTCATAGTAGCAGGCTAATTGTCCGCAACAAAGGTTTTTCCCGGACCCGTCCGGACCGGATGAGCTTTGTCTAACGGAAAATAATGGCTCTGCTCCCAGATGGTGATGTTTTACACTCATTCTTATTCTAGGCAAACGGTCTGTTTTAAGTAAGTTACTGTTGTTTTTCTTTGCTTATAACTAATTATGATGGGTTTTAAACATTCTCCTTAGGCCATTTAAACACTATACTACTGTTGAAAAGAACATTTTTAAATGATAACTATGATAACACAGTATACTACTTAATAAATATATGATACACCATCTTCTTTTTTCGTTTTACTTATGTTATTTTTAGAAGTTTTTAATATGTACACTACGGCGTGATTGACAGCCGCGGTGCTGGTCGCCCAAACGAAGACTGAACATTTGACCATTGTTGTTTGAACATTTCTTGGTAGGTCAATGCATTAGGCAGTCTGATTTCCTACGAGGTACGGTTATCTATCAATAGTCCCAATTGACATTTTCCAGAAATAACGTTTGATCGAATTTTCATAACCTCGAAAGTAATTTTGAGAGGAAAATGTTTTTTCTTTTAAACCTAACTTAACCTTACCTATTTTTTTTATTACCGTGAGGAAAATACGTTACGCATTCCCCGCCGCTGGGAGACGGCGGGGATATGTGGGACTCTCTCCTAGGGACTATGTCGATCCCCAAGAGCATACCCACTAAAAACCTCACGATGTTCCTGCGCGCACCCTGCTGGCCTCCGCTGATGGGACGCAGGCGGTCGGCGAAGAGCCGTCGCGTGCGTCCTCTCCGCCGACGTCGAATGGGGTCCGAGAGGGTGCTGTCTTTGCGGACCCGTTCGGCTGTCACCTTCTGTGACATCACGTCCTCGCAGAAGGAGACCATCGTCTGCCATGACCTCTCGCTTCCCAGCATGGCTCTAACTATGCTGGGCAGTGAGAGGTCTCGTCCCACCACCTCTACGAGATCCCAGCGCTGCTGGCTCCAGCTCGGGCACACCTCCAAGGTGTGCCTCGCCGAATCTGTAGCAGCGCCGCACTCCTGACACTCCGGGGTCACCTCCCTCCGTGCGATCTTGTGCAGGTAGTCACCGAAACAGCCATGTCCGGTGAGTACCTGAACAAGACGTTAGGTGAGGGACCCGTGCCTCCTCTCTCTCCAATCGGCCAGTACAGGGAGCAGCGCCTGGACGGTGCGCTCCCCGTATCTGGCCGATCGGAGTGCCTCCTCCCACCCCACCTGGACCGCGGTCTTGGCGGCACGCCGAACTAGCTCCTCTAGTGTGGGGAACTTAAGCTAACTTAACCGAACCTAATCGTGTCTTTGCGATAAACGTCCAACATATCCTGAAAGAACAACGGTTTCGTTATAATTCGGTTTTCGGTGGTACTGCAAGAAATCAGACTGCGATGATGATTAAAAAGTATTATGAAAAACATAATTGGTTATAAATTGTACCTGCTTATACATTGTTTGTTAGCAATACTACTATCGATTATTATTATTATTAATGATACAAAAATCGAACAACACAAAGAAAAAATCCTTTGATTTGACTGAACTCGAGCCAGCTTCTGTTGTCATGCCGGGGCCACTGCTCTTACCAACAGAGCTATAGGTCGAGTCAGATCGAAGGATTTTTCTTTGTGTTGTTCGATTTTTGTACCAAAAATAATAAAAAATATATTTTGATTTAACTATGTGCGAAAAACAAGGAATGGTAACCAACAAATATACAGGCGTAAAAAAACATGGAATCTTGAATGATGTAACAACACGAGCTTGCATTCAAGGCTTTAAGTCTCAGACAGCGTTGATTCTAAACAAAATTCGGAAAAAAGAAGTACATTAAGACTTGAGAAACGGCGAAATCTGTACCATTACATTTCGTTTGAAGTAATATAAAACCTCGACGCTGTAAAATGGTTCAAAGAATATAATAACAGTCTTTAAGGCAACTGTCTTGGAAACTAAGTAATACGTAAGGTAACTAAGTTCTTCTTTGTTGTTTTATTTCTGATGTCAAATACAGCTTCACCAGTACGTTATCTTATATTACAATATTACTAGAGTAAATTTATAACTGGAAATCGAACCTAAGAAAGATACTCCTTATTATATATAACGCTTATTTGGTGCTATTATATATAATTTGGTGCTATTATATATTATATATATATATATATATATATATATATATTACTTATATTATATATAACGCTTATTTGGTGCTACTTTGACGTAATTGTGCTTTTGACCAAATTGAATTAAATATGTTAACATATCTGTAACATAACAAGCGTTTAAGTTTGAGAAAAATCGCCAGTAATTTTTAAACGACTTCAAAAAAACGAGGAGGCTGTCAATTCGACTGTGTGTTTAATGTTTATTTTTGTATGTTTTTTGGGGACGGATGTGAATGAGTCTATTTTTATTGGAAGCAAGGTGAGGTACCCTGCTGCTGTAGGTAGCGGTGCCATTTAAATTTGAAGAAAATATTCCACCTCTTAGGGTGGCAAACTAGGGGATAAATGACTTGAGGTCGGTACTTTTAATACTCTGTACTGAGATTATGTTTATAAATTGAGATTTACATTGTAAAAATATTCAGTGTTATTGACACGTCATAAATTTAAAATAAAATTTAAAAGATCAAGTTAATCCATTTCCAATAACTTTACAAGAAGTACAATTGCGTCACTTTAACGCTTATTTGGTGCTACTTTGACGTAATTGTGCTTTTGACCAAATTGAATTAAATATGTTAACATATCTGTAACATAACAAGCATTTAAGTTTCAGAAAAATCGCCAGTAATTTTTAAACGACTTCAAAAAAACGAGGAGGCTGTCAGTTCGACTGTGTGTTTTTTTGTATGTTTTTTGGGGACCGATGTGAATGAGTCTATTTTTATTGGAAGCAGGGTGAGGTACCCTGCTGCTGTAGGTAGCGGTGCCATTTAAATTTGAAGAAAATATTCCACCTCTTAGGGTGGCAAACTAGGGGATGAATGACTTTTGAGGTCGGTTCTTTTAATACTCTGTACTGAGATTATGTTTGTAACTTGAGATTTAAATTGTAAAAATATTCAAAGTGTTATTGACACGTCATAAATTTAAAATAAAATTTAAAAGATCAAGTTAATCCAATTCCTGTTACTTTACAAGAAGTACAATTGCGTCACCTTAACACTAAATGTACAAGTATATAGAAAGTAATCAGTCGATTGAATAAGAAAAAAATGCTTAAAATAAATGAAATAATTAATATAGTCGTAAGCAGATTTAATATTCTAAATTTTCGAAGCTTTTTTAAACAGTTTTTTTCTGCCCGTTTGATTTGTAAGCACTTCGATGGAGGGCATAGAAAAGTTTTTCTCTCTTCCCTTACTTTCGTAAGATTTGTTATAGCGTTCAAAGCTATGTGTATGGATTGATGAGTCTACTTTGGTTGAGCATTCCAGTATTACGATATGGCCCGGATACTGAAATCGAGTAGCTTTATCTCTTTCAGTACGTTACCTCCTTCGTAAAGGTAGTTGATGATGCAGGTAGGCAGTAATATTTTTTGATTAGTGTATGTATGTACAGGGACAATAATATATATTACCCGGTAAGGTCAACCACCGTTGATATATTCCAATTTTACTACAATAATACATCATCATAATCATAATCATCAATAACTGCCTCCGTGGCCGAACGGTTACCATGCTGGACTGCTACGCAGAGGTCCCGGGTTCGATTTCCTGGCCGGGAGAAGTATTTGTATGGGCAATATTTATTTCCCTCGTGAGTTTGGATGTTATTTGTGGTTGTTTATGGCACCTGCGACTCAAGGTTTCCCTAGTGCGGGGCTACGAGTGTGTGCGTTTATTATTATTCATTATTATTATTATCATCAACACATTTATACGTCCTATTGCTGGCCACGGGTCTCCTCTCAGGGTTTAGGCCATAGTCAGCCACAATGACCCAATATGGGTTGGGGACTTCACAGTTGTCCGAGGGTTGTGAACCTTCTTCGACTTGCAGGTTTCATCACAACGTTTCCATGTGACCGAAAGGCTCATGGTAAATTTCGCAACGGAAATTCCGAAAACCTTCGAGGTGCGAGCTCGGATTTATAATAATAATAACAAACCAGCTACAAATAAAGCTAAGAAAACTAAAGAAATAATAATAATAACGCACATACTCAACATAGCCTCCCACATGGGAAACCCTGTATCGCGGGTGCCATGGACACACACATAGACAACCACAAATTACACCCAAACATACAAAAGAAATAAATGTGGGCCATACAAATATTTCTCCCGGCCCGGGAATTGAACCTGGGACCACAGCGTGGTAGTCCGGCTAGGTAACCGTTCGGCCACCGAGGCAGTTATTGATGATTATGACTATGATGATGTATTTATTACTGTTGTAAAATTAGAATGTATCCACTAATCAAAAAAATATTACTGCCTATATGGTAAGGGTTCGGCCACGGAGGCAGTTAAATTGAACCCACGGCCTTTGCTTGAGAGGCGGTAGGTCGAAATTAGGCTATCACGGGTTTTTAATACTTTATTGAGACGATACAAGGTATTGTAAGGTACTTAAACATTTTGCACAGGCCGTGATTGAGAGTGAACCCGTGACCACGGCCGGTGCAACATGGCCGAACCGCCGGGGTAATAGGTAGGTGTGAAAATACCTATTAAATTGTTTAATCGCGTTTGTTCCCGTTTTGAAATGTTAGTACTTAAACTGAGACAGAAACTCGTTTTAAACAGGCCAAAGGTAAATTATTCGTGCAAATTAATTTGAATTAATGGGTTCATTTAGCCACATTCCCAAGTGATATTAAATTTTATTCGAGTATTCCGAACTGTTAACTTTAGTAATAATTTTTCGACGCAACTAATTTTCCTATATTAGTGTAGTTTCACATACCACATAATGTTTTATGAGCGGCAACTGTTTCTGCGGTCGCCCATTTTCAACTGAACAATATAATTTGTAAAATTTTGTGCTCTTTGACCATCCAACTATAAAATGAGTTATATTTGTAGTGGGTAAAAAAAAGAGTTTTTAAATTAATAAATTGAACTGTCTAAGAGCGCACTTTTAATTGTTAATGACATTTTGATGGTGGATAAATAATGCTCTTTTGGAACACTGTAGACGACTGAGTAGAGTTCGGTTTTATTTTAAATCGAAATTAACATTAACATGTGCAGGAGCATGAAACACAAACAAAATAATGACAAATCAAGGAAAAAGTCACCAAAA